TTGTAACCATTCGTTTTCTTCTATAGACTATTGGACATCCTACAAACTCAAAAGAAGGTCTCTAGGATTCAAGTTCTGGGTAGAGTCTGGAATTTAATATATATGACATGGCAGTAAAGGAGGTTGCTTTAATGGTTCCATATCCCACAATGTTATGTGTTGAGCCATCAACTACCATTATTTGAGAGAGTGCTTTGTGTGATCGAAAGGCAGAAAATATATTAGGATTACATGTTATGTAATTACTAGTACATGTATCAATCACCCAGTTGTTCAAAGAGGAGACCGCATATGCTTTTTTTGAATCAACAAGGGTAGTAACTGAAGTGAATTCTTTAAGGGATTCTTGATACTAAGAGGACTCCGCAAACTCATTTGCCGAAACCAAAATTGTCTTACCCTCATAATTTATAGCCATGTTTCCTCCTTTCTAATTGTTTGCGTTATAGATTCAACTCAAAATACCCAAAATGTTAATATAGGAGAAGCTAACAAACACAAACAATACTAACAAATACAATCCAGTACTGAAAAGGCAATTTGTTAATATCAAGACATGCAAATTAAGTCCATACAAAATTTGAACGAAGTTATAAATTCAAGACATACTGACCCAAGTGAACATTTTGGGTTTATATAGCCGGATTAATTATTTAAGTCAATATTGCATGACTTAAGTCAAATCCAACTACATTGGGCTAGGTTGAGGCTCTACAAAATGGTCCACCCACTTGTTTTAAACCCAAGGATCCATTAGGATTACTTGGAGGCTACCATAAAACCTTTCATCCATGCCTATATAAAATAAAAATGCTACATATTCTCTTTGGAGGCATCTTGAAAATTCTATAACATCTTGGAAGATTCTAAGATGGGATTGGACAAAGACAAGAGAGTGCTCAACTGGAACAACGACCAACAAAGACCAATTACTTAGATAACGATTCTTCCCCTTCTCCTTTTAAGGCTTTAAGGTGAACTGTATGGAGGTAGGAAAGAAAGACGTCCTCACCTTCTCTAGTGTTAGTGAGAGCAATTTGAGTATCTCTCATGCACCTCCTTTTGTAGATAGAATCTTAATGGGTGGAAACAACCAACCTTACTAAGAAAGGTGCTTGTAGAGTAAGGCCGACTTTCAAGCCCACCCTTGGTATAGGTTGGGCACTTGAGCGCATGATTGGTCCATTGAAGATTGTACAAGACAAACGTAGGCATGCATACATCTTATATCATGATCACATCAATGCCATCAACAAGCCAAATTTCATTTATTTGTTCAATTAAGTACTTCTTTCACGTCATTAGCTTTGAAAAATTGTCTCCCTTTACTGGTTCACCTCGATAAAAAACTTAAGAATAGCCTAGCTTCAGAAGGTCATCAATAATATTTGATTCCAAGAAATTAGCAACCAATTCACCCAACAAAATAATTGTAGTCCATAGTCAAATACCAAATTTATTTGACATCGAGAACAAGCATCCACAAAACACTATTAATTCAATATTGAGCAAAACTCAGCAAATTGCGACAACACCAAACTTAAACCAGATCTAAATCACTGAAGGACAGACTAGCATACTAGAACATTAATTGTCCCGAACAACATGTTTCGTCCTAGTCTATTTCCAATATTATGTATTGCTAGCTTGAAAGGAGCTCTTCACGTGATATTCAATTAGAGGAATTACGTGTAAGCACCGTTTGTCTTAGCAACAAGTTACTCAAAAATATCTCCAGCACTGAAGCTTTTATAAAGACCAAACACACCTATGAGATATATGAAAATGTACTCTATCCACTTAAAAATATAATAAGATATGAGATGTTTAGAAACACACCAACGTGGTCATTGAGAACTAAGAAATTTTGAAATTCCATTTTAGTAAAAATGTAAGTCTTGCAATCAAATACAAAAAATGATATAAACATCAATTCAGATTACTTATGTCGTCCTCAAGAACTGTACTCTGACATGTGTTCCTATTCTACCCAAGAAGCCCCTTTTCGCCATTCTACGTCTACAAAAAATGATATAAACATCAATTCAAATTATTAATTCTTGTTTTGCATTTCAGGATAATTATATAATGTGACATATCCAGACACGATGATATTGATATCTTCAATTAATACATTACAATGATCCTTAATATCATCAGCATATTTCCCAGGAAGTGCTTTTTCCATTTCCTCCAATAGATTGTTATTATCCTTGTTGATCGCAAGAGTATTCTCAAAGATTTTATTCTCCTCCTTAGTCCAGAAGGAGTTATTGCATGTTCGATCAGTGTTCATTTTTTTTCTAGATCTACAAGGAACCCTCAAACATGAAAAAGGTAAGCTCTTCAAGAGGATTCAGAAAATGGATGAGTGTCAATATATGACCAAAATTTATCATAAATATCAGGCATCTAAAATAAGATTTTTTGTAACCCCTAAAACTTAGAAATCAGAAACAATCACAACAAGACACATTCTTTTAAATCAGTTATGGATACTAAGAAAAATAATGAGTGAATAATAAAAGGAACAATCATGAAGATACATGTGGTATACTACCACAAAATTTTGAAGATATACGAAGCATATTATTAAAGCATTTGCATTCTTTACCTTTTATATCGGTCGAAAGGTTTTATAATAAGAAAGAAGAATACAAAGAAGAAAACTATTTGTCTCAAGATAACAAAAAATCATGTCATTGAGTATATATTTTTGTTATTGTTAGTGATGCAAAAAAAAGATCTTTTGCCTTATACCACAAATGGGAAAGAAATCTTGTCGATCCAACATATGTTATCAAAATAAAGGGAAAAACCAAGGTTCCCTTGTAACACAATCTAACCACTTAAAACTAGGGAATGCGCTAAGACAAAATATATCTTGGTCCAATGGTAATCAATACATACTTGAGGCAGTGGACTATGTGTCCAAGTGTTTTGAGGGTGTTACTTAATGATGCAAAGGTGGTGATAAAGTTCATCAAGAAGCACATCTTCACTAGGTTCGGAACTCCAAGGGCCATGATAAGTGATGGAGGTAAGAATTTCATAAATAGTTCAGTGCATAATTTGCTGGCTAAATATGGAGTGCGACACAAGGTAGCCATAACCTATCATCCTCAGAATAGCGGTCAAGTGGAAGTGTCCAATAGGGAAGTAAAGCAAATTTTGTCAAAGACTGTGAATGCACAAACGAAAATGACAAGCTATACAAAAAGAAGACTAAGAAGTGGCATGACAAGCATCAGTGTCATGCACCTTTGAGCCTAGCCAATTGGTGTTTCTATTCAATTCAAGACTCAAGTTGTTCCATGGAAAACTTCAGTCTCAGTAGAGTGGGCCATTTGGGGTGGTGAGAATGATCCAACATGGAGCTATGGAACTAATAAATAAGGATAAGAGATCTACTTTTCTTGTAAATAGGCATAGAGTGAAACACTACTTCAGGAATGACATTGATAGTGAGCAAGAATCTCTCAACTTGATTGAGGAGTGAGTCATGAGAGGGTCATGCCGCAACGTTAAATCATGCGCTACACAGGAGGCATCTCGTGACTCCTTGTAATAGATAGGATTTCTGGTTTTCCTTTTTCTTATTTCAATTCATAGGAATTAGTATAAAAAAATATGATATATCAGGAAAATACAAAAAATAAGTCGTACCACGACCAAACCTAAGGCGCTGGATGGGAGGCAACCCATTGGGCTTAGTCTAATTGGTGTTATGCTGTAAATGTGCAGGGAATAGGAATGGGGACCCATCATGCGTCACGGAGAAAGGTGACAATTTTGCCTCACCACGAATTAATTTTCCAGGGCGAGGCAGAACACTCTGTAACGTGCACTTGTCGCGGAGTAGGGTAGAAAATTTGGATTCGACGAGAATGATTTTTTTGTCAAAAATAAAGGATCTCCATAATAGAGGCGCGTCGCGGAGGGGGCCCTACTATTTTGTTTCTCTGTGAATTAAATTCTTTTCGCGAGGCAAAACACTCTGTAATGGAGCGGCATCACGCTACCAGGTAAGTTCTTACCCATTTTCTTTCAAACCACCCGACCCAAGTCCCTTTTAACCCCAAATTTCCGTCCCCAAAATCCCCACTTTTATCCCAAATAGTGATTTTCTTCCTCCCCTTCTCCCCTTGCAATTTTTCAAGCGTCAATCCATAATGTGAAGGCAATTCCACCTTTTTCTCTGTCGATTCTACTCGACTACAATATTCAAGGTAAGTATTTTTGTCTATTCTCTTGAAATAGTGGGGTGTTCTTGAAGCTTAGTAATGGTGTTTGATGTTTCAGTGTTGTGGGGGTTGTGCGTGTGATTTTTAGTGGGGGGAAGTGGTGTACGCCGCTTTTTAATGGGTATTTCAAAGTCTTGAGTAGAAATTGCCGAATTGTTTGATCTTATGTAGGCATTGGGTAGAATGGGGTTCTATGAACATGGTAGAGTGAAGTATTGGGGATTGTTGATGAGTAAAATAATCCATTTCATGGAATTTGAGTGTCTATTGTGTGAAGCCTTGAGTAAAACTGTGTGATTATTTCTATGTGGGATTGTGGGTATTTTGTGTTATTGTCAATGGTGGAGGTTGTTTGTATTTGACTGATTTTAGTGGTAACTTAATGTAAAAGTTGAATGTATTAAATGGATGGGTGTGTGTAGTTTTGGGTTGTGCATGTTAACATGTGGGAAGAGCGGAAGGTACGCTAAGCCCCTGATACATCGCTATTCAATTTGACTATAGGTTTTCCTCTACAGCCGATCTTCCTCAACAAATTCAGGTTTTTTCTCTCAAAAAAAGTGGGTACCAAGAATCACCAACAGGAGTAGAGAAAGAAAAAGGTTCTAACAACACATCGGGGAGGACATCAAACCTCATAGCCACATATGGCATTACAAAAGACAAAGTAGCACTGGGATCAAGTAAAGCATATACATCCGGTTGGAAAACTTTCAACATACCGGTAACCACATTCAGAGAATCTTTTTGTTAACCTCAGGTTTGGAGAGCATAGAATCGGTTTTGCTTAGGGGCATTGGATCTTGAACCACTAGGAGTAGCTTGCTTGCCCTCCCTTTCTTTAGCCGCAAGCACTGGGAAATCCCTCATTTTGTGACCATTTTTCCCACAACCATAACAACCATCCGTGCCGGCTAGACAGTTACCATCGTGCTTCCTTCCACACTTAGTGCAATTAGACATAGGCAATTAAGATCCACTACCATTCTCTCCTTGAGGCTTAGGGTTAGACACCCTATCTTTGTTGAACTTAAGAGGAGCATTAGAGGAACCTTGATCGAAAAACCTTTGTTGGAATTCAGGATGACCTTGCCCATCGAACCTTGCATGTGAAAAGTTACCATCACAGGTTTTAGCCCTTTTTACCTCTCTAGAATTTTCCTTAAGTTTATCCTTCTCAATTTGTTGTGCATGTACCATGAGACGAGAGATGTCCATATCATGAATGAGCATTGCAATTCGGAACTCTTTAACCACCATTTCAGACATACCTGAAACGAACGTACTCTTCATGGCCCTTGAATCGACAACCATTGTTGGAGCATACTTTGACAATTGATTGAACTTTAGATCATACTCCCTCACACTCATACTTCCTTGTCGAATGTTAATGAACTCAAGCACCTTAGCTTCCCTCAACCCAAGGGAAAGAACCTATTAGGAAAAGTAGCCTTCAACTTCTCCTAATCAAGAGGACCCGCATCTTCCGACCTCCTTTCTTTCCATTGGTTATACCAAATTTGAGCCACACCTTTTAGTTGATAAACAGTCAACTCCCCCTTTTCCACCGGTGTAACCCCCATGATCATCAAAACCTTATAGACTTCATCGATAAACTCTAGAGGGTCTTCCTCAACTTTCGAACCATAAAATTCCGGAGGGTTCATCCTAGTGAAGTCCCTCACTCTTGAAGTTGTCGTATTCACACTTAAGCTTGCGGGAACCACAACTTCCCAATTGTCTTAGGCCGTCACGGCTTGAGCAAATACTTGAAAAGCAGCCCTAAACTCCGCATTAGACACATGTTCGGCCAAAGGATCGACCGGAACTTGAGGAGCTTGGGGAGGATCTTCTTTTTCCGCATTCTCCCTCACATTCCTTCTAGCATAAGCTCTTCGGGTAGCCATATCCTGAAGAACATAAGATAAGGATTAGGAGAGATACTTTATAGCGTTATACTCTATCGGATGACTTAAGAGTAACGAAAGAAGTGGAGTTTCCTAATCATCTTGTAGCCTCTCATTCATAAATCTGGCACGCTTCACACGCATGAACAAGACTCTACTAGACATGGCTTATGAGACATCCTAGGACCATTCTAAACCTCGTGCCCTAATTACCAAGTTTGTCACGACCTAGGGTACCCCATCGATGTTATATGGCGTATAGAACTTCGAAGGATTCCATACACGCCACTTAGTTTTCATAACATAAGAAAAATAACAATAAGAGTAAAACAATAGTCTGAGTCCAAAACATTTTATAAAATGAAAAGCGGAAGTCTAGACACTTGTCTCAACATAGTCATCTAATACAATAGAATGAAATTGGACCTAGCCCATACATCATGTCCATAAGAGAAAATACATGAAAGAAAGTGAAAACAATAAACTTTGTCCCAGAAACATGAGGACTCACCAAAGCTCGGGTATCAATCAAATCACCCACTATCCACGAAACTGAGCACCCTGAATATCAGACCCTACATTGGGGTAAAATGTAGGCAATAGTATGCGTTATTACAAAAAAATGTACCAAGTATAATAGCCATTCATAAAATATTTAAATCATGCTAAAAGGGACATTTTATTTCATGACATGCAATTGACCAAACTAAATCATCATATGAAAGAGTTATAAAACATAAGTCATAAAACATGGTCAATGCAACCTAACTTAATCTTTAAAACCATTGAACACATATGAGATACTCCTTGAGTAACCTTAGTTAATTATTAATTATGGGGAATTAGCCTTAACCGACATTTATACCACGTGAGTTATAACATGGAATCCGGTGTCTACCCCACATCAAAAAGAGGTGTCCTACTTGCCAAAGGTAAAGACCATAAACTTCTAACCCAAGTGTATCCACTAGTGAATCAACCAATGCACTTAGTGAAGGGATATGGAGATTCCTACTAGAAACTCAGCCTCTAATGTGGGAGAGCTTCCATCTCTGAGATTACTTTGGAAACCCGACCTCTACTACGGGAGAACTTACATCTCACTATCAATATCGACTCGGTGCTAAGCATAAATTCCCACGGAAGAGTCACTTCATACTTGACTTCATTACTCATGAAAAGGTGCCCTTGGACAATCAATTCAAGCTAGTTTCATTAAGATAGCTTTTTGTCTTTGATTCAATTAGGTGAGAAAGCCTTTCAACCTAAGAATCCTTTCTATGTGAGAAAACTTTTCACATCATGCTAATTATGTGATCATAAGAATATCCTTTCACAACACAACATCATCATTGGTACTTTACTGTCAAAGCATCCTTAAAATATTTGCATAGATTTCATAAAAAATGCATAAGTCCATAATTTATCTCCTTGAGGTCAAAACCCACTTTCAATCATCAATTCTTAGAAAACATGGGTTAGATATGGATTTCATCATAAATTCATGTAAAACTAGTAATGGATGCTCAATTTAATAGAACTCTTCCTTTAAGATCAAAATCCCACAACATATACATGTGGATTGCATGGGTTCATAGGGGGTAAACATCATAAAAGCATTGTAATTCATCAATTCATGCGTAGAAGATCATAACTCAATAATTTAAATCAATAATGAAAGGAGCCCAAGCTAATTGAAGAAAACCCTAACTAAATTAGGGAATTCTACAATTTGAAATAGAGAATTTGGGAACTCCATGGATGAAAGAAATCCATGGATGGAAACTATCATACCTTGACTACAAATGCTTGCATGCAATGGAGAAATTCAAACCTAAGCTTAAGACCCAAGGTTGAATCTTATTCTTCTTCTTCAAGTTTCTAGAGGGAGAATATTTGAGAAGAAATTTGGGAACGGTTCCATGAAGTCTATCCCCATACATGAAAGACCTCTACTTCTAAGATATTGCTTAACAACATCTCATACCTTCTAGAAATGGTGCCCATTCTCTGACATTGATCACAACCCTTCACAAAAATCGCAGCATGTTTAAAAAAAGTAGTCCAAAAGAAATCGGATTGCAATACCTTACGTGTTGTGCGCTCGCCTCAGTGGTACCCACCATATGGAGAAGAGTGACAAATCTCCAGTACTTGCATCGCCTCCTTCTCTGCTATACACCTTCGCACCACCTGGTCAGGTCCCTACTTGAAAAACAAAGGCTCATCCCACATATACAAACGAGCCTCATGTTTCACCTTTTGCCTTTGATGTATTGAAGCCCCAGGTGGAAATAAACCACTCACCATAAACTGTACAATATCATCATACCAGGGTACTTGTGCAATGTCCAAGGCTAGCAATTTCTCATCAGGGAATTCTTCACGATTTCGTTCTTCATTCCATACATGAGATGAGTCCTCCAATCTTGACAAATGATCGGCTGTCTAATTCTCAGTCCCCTTTATATCTTTAATTTCCAGATCAAACTCTTGCATGAGTAATATCCATCTAATCAGCCTCGACTTCGCTTCGTTCTTGTTGAATAAATACCTGATCACAACATGGTCAGTGTAAACAACAACCTTGGTGCCCACCAAGTAAGATCAGAACTTATCAAAAGCAAACACTAGTGCACACATCTACTTTTCTATGACAATGTAGTTCAATTGTGCTGTATCCAGAGTCTTACTAACATAGTACATGGAGTGAAACATCTTATCCTTATGCTAGCCTAGCACTGCACCAACCAATGTATCGTTGGCATCACACATGAGCTCGAAAGGTAGCTCCCAATTCAGAGCAATAAAAATAGGCACTTCATTTAACTTCTTCTTTAGTAGCTCCAATGCCTGCAGACAATGTTCATCAAATTCAAATTTCACCACCTTTTCTAATAAACTACACATGGGTCTCGCAGTTTTAGAAAAGTCCTTGATGAATCTTCTATAAAACCCAGTATGTCCAAGAAAACTTCGGACTCCTTTCACAGTGATGGGTGGTGGAAACTTCTCAATGACCTCCACCTTAGCTCTATCAACTTCTTGCCCATTTCTTGAGATTTTGTGCCCCAGTACAATCCCTCCTCTTACCAAGAAGTGGGACTTTTCCCAATACAACACCATATTCATCTCTTCACACCTTGGAAGGACCCTGTCAAAATTAGTCAAACAAAGGTCAAAAGACTCACCAAACACCGAGAAGTCATCCATGAACACCTCAACAAAATCCTCCACCATATAGTGGAAGATTTCCATCATGCATCTCTGGAATGTAGCATGTGCATTGCATAATCCGAATGGCATATGTTTGAACGCATAGGTTCCATATAGACAAGTGAAGGTTGTCTTTTCATGATCCTCTGGTGTAATGACTATCGGATAGTAGCCTGAGTAGCCATCCAAGAAGTAGTAATAATCTTGTCCTGCCATTCTGTCCAACATCTGATCGATAAACGACACAAGATAATGGTCTTTCTTGGTGGAATCATTCAACTTTCTATAGTCCATGCAGATACACCACCCAATTAATGTCCGTGTAAGGATCAATTCATTTTTCTCATTTGTCACAACTGTCATATCGCCCTTCTTGGACACACATTGTACCGAACTCACCCATTTGCTATCAAATATGGGGTACACTATCCCTGCATCTAGCCACTTGATCACCTCTTTCCTTACCACATCCTTCTTGACTGGGTTAATTCTACGTTGGTGTTGTGCACTCGGCTTGTGCCATTCCTCCATGTAAATCTTGTGCATACACAATGTTGGACTTATCCCGTGAATATCAGACATCTCCCAGCCTAAAGTTTCTTTTCTCTTCCTCAGTATACTCAATGTTGCTTCGGCCTGTGGTTCAGAAAAATCTGCAGACAAAATCACAGGTAAGGTCTTATCTTCACCCAAAAGTGCATACCTTAGATGAGTTGGTAATCTTTTTAACTCCATCTTGGGTGATTCTTCAATGAAGGTTTAGGTGGAGGACCCAACACCCTATTCAACGGCTCCCAGTGATCTCTTGATATGCCCACAATTGACACATCCATAAACTGTACCACTTATTGTGCTTTAGCATCCCCATAAATATCATTCCCCACTAAAACACACTCTAGAGGGTCATTGGATGCAATATAATGAGCTTCTATTTCAAGATTTATGACTGTTACAGTAGACAACTCTTCATACACAACTGCTAGTTTCAACGTCTTGTAGACATCAAACACTTCCATTTTGTCATGCACCCGCATAGTCAATTGACCGGCTGCAACATCTGTCATAGCACACCCTGTGGACAAGAAAGGTCTTCCTAAGATGAAAGGAACCTTAGGATCTGGCACAAAGTTCAGCACCACAAAATCTACCGAGAATATCAAGGATCCCACATGAACCAAGACTTTCTCCACAACACCCTCTGGTCTAGCCACTCATAGATCCTCCAACTGCAAGAAAATGGTGGTGCGT